TATCTCGATTTCAGTATTCTCAAAACTTTCTGCGGACGTTTCTTCGCAAAGGTGTGAAGCAGCGCGTATTGCCCCCAGTACATTCAGAAAGAAATTTTCGATAGTACTTCTTGTAGATTATGGAGCGCTGGAAAGTAGCCGCGTACTCCTTTTCAAAGGAGTTAGAAGGGCTGGTGAATTCTGGAAAAATCATGTCCTTCTAAATTTTTCTCAACGTAACTCTAAAATATGAAGCTCTCTTGCTAAGCAGATGTGAAAGTATAGGTTTTTTGCTTTGCTTAACAGCAATAATACAAACGACGATAGATAGAAGCCCGGCAAATGCCTGAGTTCCTACAGCTGTCAGAAACCATGGACTGTTGATGAGCTCTTCTACATCAGAGCAAGACATCGTTTATGCGATAAGCTTTCAAACGTTTGAGGATTATCTGCAATTAATACTTACGAGGATATGCACGATTAAAGAACCAAAGATATCTCATCTCTGCAGCAAAGTGTATTAGAGCCTCAAAATGTTTTTGTGTTTGCAAGCGCAAACTGTATCTGATTACTCTGGAAGCGAACACTTCAAAAAATGGATCTCGCATTGATTTTCTTTTACTCTGGGGCGTTTTAGCTGAGAAAAGTGCGCAAGAAGCGCCTCTTCATGCACTCAAATGAAGTTCTCAGTAGAAAACCGCGTGCGTCCTTTGGGTAGATGTTGTATCATGACAATTTCATAGAAGCAGTGAACAGCGAAAGAATGATAAGTGAATATTTGCGTACTACGATAACCCAAAGGGATCTCTGGAATATTGTTTGACCGTTTTCATAAACCGAATATGTTGTGGCGTAGCGCTCAAATTTGTTTAACAGGAAGTTGACGCTTACGTGGTTTCCTTCAGTTTTTTGTTATATACATAATACGCCGGAAATTGTCGACTTCATCTTGCAGTTATTATCTATATCAGATGACGTTGAGATTCACGTATTGTTAGTAATTCAAGATTTCGTAGCTACTACTAGAGATCCAAGCTACTTTATAATGTTTCTTGGGTTTACAGCTAATTTGTGCACTCATCGTAACAAGTACACTCGGTTGTTTTAAGCTATCCAATCATCGATACTCATTCAAGATCGACGGCTGGCTCAAACAAACTAAGCAAGTATGCACACAGTACTCTGCGTTGATACCACTGCTT